TTTGTTCCCAACCCTCTGCCTTTGAGGTACTGGTTTCTGGTGTGGGTTAGCTCTGTTCCGAGGATCATTTGCTCTCCAAGATAGACCTGCCCTTCATCTTAAAATATTAGCCTTTAAAATGTGCAAGTAGCTCAGGTTGTCTGCTAATGGGGACGGTGAATGTCCTAGCACTGCTCCTCTCCAGAGGTGGGAAGTTCTCTCCCCTTTGACATCTTTCTGAGTGTTTAAACTCAGTGAGCACCAGGTCCACAGCAAGCCTCCCACCGGCCTCAGGAAGCTTTGGGCTGTGCCACAGCCTGCTCTGCTAACAACATGTGACAAACTGAAGTGAACAGCTAGACAGAAAGCATCAGGATTTCACAGCATATTTTGCCAGGAACTTGTTTTTTTCAGCTTTTTTTTTTTGTGCATGTGTGTGGTTTTGGGTTTTTTTGTTGTTGGTTTTTTCCCTCCTAGCACTCTAGCAACTCAAATCTCTCCCAGGCTTCTCCTGACATTATCAAGACAGTGGATGACAGGCAAAACGTGTCCACAAGCGATTCAGCCTCTCCCCGCTAAGCAATCATAAACACTGCAAGGCTGCAGCGACGCGGGCAGCTGTCTCTCTGCCTCCGCAAGGCTGCTGCCTCACAAATGGGGGCTCTGCGGGTTTTACAGCTGTCGGACGATGACTCTCGTGGCTGTTTTCTCCTTCTGTCTCTCTCTCTCTTTTGTTTTTTCCTCTCTTCTTTTCTTTCTTTTAATGGAAAATGTCTCAGCGTTGCCAGGACTGAAGTGCCCCCCTCCAGCAGCCGATCGATACAGCCAAGTGACTGGGCTGCAGCTCCTCTTCAGGCTGATGCTTCTGGGCTTGGCACAGAGGGGTTGTGTTACCCTCACATCCTCCTTGCCAAGGGTTTATTACCTTCGATCACATTTCTTACAGGAAAGCACTGTTTTATCTGGGGGGCAAGGGGAAGGATTTAGTAGCCCCAAACTCAGTCGCAGAGGTGTTGAGAACAGAGAGGCAAGGGAGCGTGGGCTGGATTTGGGAGAGCTTCAGGGATGGTGGTAACCTTGAGCTTTGTGGTTTCCTTCCAGACTGCTAGAACGTGTGTGGAGCCCCAGCAGAAACTTCATCCCTGACCAAAATATGGGTAAGAGGAGAGTAACGATTAGTGTGTTACTTCACTCTGATAGAGCTGGTGCTGCCTTGGCTTGACTTGCCCCGGGAGCTCCTAGGAGCCTTTCAGGTCTCTTTTCTATGATACTTCCTGAGGCTGCAGCAGATGCCCCCTCTGCAAAGACAGCTTCAGGCTGTGGTTGGAGAGGCACCTGCAATGCGGCCTGAGGGTGAATTTCCCTCCCGACAGCTGCAGTTACTGCCCCTCAGCAACATGTTGCTCCCAGGCTGTTTCAGTGCCATGGAAATGGTGTTTCTCAAATCTCTTTTTCTGTGCTGCCAAAATACTGCTCTTTGACCATGCTGTGAAGCTGCCTGCTTTGACAGTGCCACCTTCTCACCCTGCTCTTAACATAGAGCAAGTTTAATTTTACCTTGCTTTGCTACAGCCATCTGTGCCCTCTGCACTCCCTTCCTGTGTGACCCTCTTCTTCAGTGGGTCCGTCGAACAGCACATGTTGGATGAAAGACATAAATTCTTTCTGTTTTGACTGAGTATAATAAAGTCTGGCAACTGTGCAGCCCAGGTGGCTTTTGGACATGCAGCATTTAGTGCACAAAGTGATTGATCTCTGATCTTTAAAATGGGGCTGTGAAAGCCACGGTGAATTTGCATGCATGTGGAGTGCTAAGCCAGGAAATAGCAGCTCTGAAACTGTGTAGCCCCTGCCCTTTATTTCCTTGTGTGGAGCTTTCCATGTTTGGCAATGCAGAATAGTGATTTATGTATAACCAGAGCAGCCTCCAGTGGTTGCATCTGTGAACTCTTCCAGGCTGCCCTTTGTCTGGGCTCACTTCTGGGTTTCACAGCCCCTGGTGCTGATTCCCAGCTGCTCTGAGCTCACTTTGGGAGAAGGCAGGAGAGCCGGGAGCAGCGCGTTCCCTGGTGCTGCTGGAGCAGGTTCTGTTGCCAATGGAGCTGCTGGGCATGGGGGAGCTGGAACAGACTGTGGAGGGGAAGATGCCGTGGGACCCGGGGGCCTCTTCTCATCCACGGGACGGGCATCAGTGGCTGCTGCTGGCTGCAGGGCAGGATTTCCTGGGGGCAGGAGCGTTGGGAGCCCACGGCAGGAGGTGGGAAGGTGGCTCCTGGCCAAGAGCTTCCCATTTAGCTACATTTAGGTCCCATTTAGGACCTCGTCCTCCCGTTGAACCACACTCCACAGTGCTGGGACGGGCTGTGAGCTATTGAGAAGGTTGTGCTTGAGGGACCTGTGCTGTCCATGGCACGTGTTGAAAATGCCCATGGAAATGGCATTGCATCTATGTACTCATGTGTGCATCCTCATGTATATCCTCAGGGAGAGAGAGGGTGGGTGTTTGGGAATGCTGAGTTCATCCTTCCAGCTTCTGGGGGTGCATCCATGGCTGGTCAACATTGAGCTGAGATAAAACAGGCTGGCTGCACAATCTTTAGTCGAAGAGGAGGGAGGGAAGGAATGCCACAAGTGTTGTTTTGGGTCTCCTTAGGATGTGTTGTTTGCCCTGGCACAGGAGGTTTGGATTATTCCTCAGTTATTATCACCGTTGCACACTCCTTCCTAATGGGTGTCAAACTTCTGAAGTGAAAGACAGCACTTCAAAGGGAAAAGGAAAAAATGCTGCCTGGAAAATATTTAACCGAAATATTTCAGCATTTCTGAAATAAATGGTGTCATTTAGAATACGTCAAAACAAAAAGCCCCGGTCTTTTGAGCATTTCCTCTTTTTCTTTCCAGGTAAAAGTATTCCCTTCAACATACATTGGTGAGTGGTATTACATCCCCCCTGCTCCTCACAAAGGCATACTAGCAAACGATGAAGAAAATACCATCAAACCGTGGCTCTGCCAGACAGGCCCTAGCAAGGGGGCTGGACAAGGTCAACTGTAAAAAAACAAATGAAGGAGCATCCTCTAGAGACAGCTGCAGACCTGTGAGACAGGTAACGGTGTTACAAGCACCACTTCATTGGCTTTTTCTGGTCTCTCTCTGCGTGCCTGTGGCTTCTGTTTTGTTGGGGGAGGAGGAGGGAAAGCAAATCTGGCAGGAGAATTTTGTTGTTGAATTTTGTGGAATCTTGTTTATTTGCCTGCACAGTAACGTGAATTTGTGTGTGTGTCTGCGCGCGCCTGCCTGCGATCGCTGCATTTGTGTCCCTCTCCGTCCCCCCGCGTCTCTCCGTGCACGGCGTGATATAAACAAACCTGCCTCTGGACATGCCATGGCTTAAAATAGATGTTCATACATCAGCCTGGCGGCGGCGGCGG